AGAATTACTATACGTGGTGATCTTTATAAACTTAAAAAAAACATAAAATTGGCTTTTAGTTAGTATTTTCCTTTTATTATTTTTTCCATCTCTTATAGCTGGATTAAAAAAATATCTATTCTTAGAGTCCTCTGTCTTTTAAGTGAAGAATATAGTCCATTTATATTTGTCACCATTTCTGATATATTTGGATTTATTTCTGCCATTTTATTTTATTTTTTTCTATTTAACATATGCCACATTCCCCCTCCCCCCTTTTCCCTTCTATGAATTAACTCTATTCTCTTTCCACTCTTTCCCCTCAATAGGTTTGATGTTACATACCCGGGAATTCTATTCTTTAGCAGAATACAGAATTATGTTTTAATATGTTAGTGTTAACATTATTACCAAATGTCCTTCCAAATCAATGACTTTTAATTCTTATCATACACCACTACCGTGGTCTTAACCTGTTACTATGTTGCTGCTGCTTCAGTTCTACCTTGTTTTAGTGTTCTCTCCCACCTCCCAAAACTATTAATATATTTTTTAAAACCCCAATTCTGTCTTAATGTTTATTTAGGTCAATCCACACACTCACTAGGCTCTTCGCTTACTGTTCCTTTTTTACATGGCACACATTTCTTTTTGGTTTAATTTCCTTCTTCCTGAGGTACATCTTTTAGTAGTTCTTTCAGTGAGGGTCAGGGAAAAGAAATCGTTTCATTCGTTGTTTAAAAATATCTTTATTTTACTCTTGCCACCTCATCCCTTTAAAGAAATTATTCCAGTGTTTTCTGGCCACTGTTACTGCTGTTGAAATATATGAAGTTAAGTCTAGTAGTTTGAGGGTTTTTGTTGTCTTTGGTTTTGTTTTGTTTTTTTTTTAAGGTAAGTTGTCTTTTGGTTTAATTTTATAATTAAACCAAAGGTTGGGCTCTGCACTCAGCGGGGAATCTGCTTGAGACGCTCTCCCTCCCCCTCTCCCTCTGCCCCTTCCCCTGCTCATGCTCTCTCTCTCAAATAAGTAAATAAATCTTAAAAAAAAATTATCCTCAGGGCACCTGGGTGGGTCAGTCGGTTGACTGTCTGCCTTCGGCTCAGGTCATAATCCCATGGTCCTGGGATGGAGCCCTGCATTGGGCTCTCTACTCAGCGGGAAGTCTGCTTCTCCCTCTTCCAAGGGCCGCAAACTCCCTTAAGTTTTCCTTTGTTTCTGGGGCCTCTATGACATGCCTAGGTGTGGTTTTGTGTTTACTTATTTTTCTTGGTACACCTTTGAGGATTCATGTCTTTCATTAAATCTAACATTAGTTTGACCACCTCAGCTCTTTTTTGGTCACTATTTACATGTAGTATCTTTTCCCATTTTTACTTTGAACTTATTTGTATCTTTGGACTAAAGTGAGTCTCTTATGTTCATATTGTTTTTTTTTTTTTTTAAGATTTTATTTATTTATTTGAGACAGAGAGAATGAGAGAGACAGCACATGAGAGGGGGGAGGGTCAGAGGGAGAAGCAGGCTCCCTGC